CTTTGTTGTATAAGCTGAGATAATTCGTTATTTCTATGATCCCGAACGGGATCTCCCACTGATCACGCTCATATTTAAGTTATTTATATCCGCAAAAACTCAATGAACACGACACAGAGTTTTGCTGTCGATCTAATGCGACAGTGCTACGCATGTTTGTGAAAGAAATAAGTGGAAAATCAAGTTGACAAAATTTTCGATGAACCTGCGCTCGCGAGCTGGGCTTTATCGAAGAACTCAAAACTTGCCCGTTTCATCTGTGCTACTGAAAACATGCGTAGCACTGTCGTAATAGATCGACAGCAAAACTCTATGACGTTTTCTTTGAGTTTTTGCGGATACAGATAACTTTGAAAATGAGCGTGATCAGTGGGAGATCCCGTTCGGGATCATACAAATAACGAAATATCTCAGCTTACAAAGCAAAGTGCTGCTACTCATTCTGCTAGAATATTAGGGTAGTAGAGCCTTCTAAAGATAAACAAACAAGGAAAAACGCAGATCCCCAGAGCAGCGAGCTATGAAGCGGAAACAACCTGTCCGGGTAACTTACTCGGACGGGCGATTGATACATATCGGCCCTGATGTCCAGCTGGCAATAAAAAGCGCGCCTCTCGCTAGTGCGAGCGCGTATGCTAAATTAAGTTATTGAGATCAAAGAAAAAGAACGAGGTATGAGATCTACAAAAGACTTACAACTAAAAAGAGGCTCACCTGCACAAACAATCCACATTAAAGGATAAAGGATTCAGGATCAAGATTCAGCGTCTTCAATATCTGCGGTAATGCGCCGAACGCACACTACTTCATAAATCGAAGAGGCAACTGTATGCGTGCGAGCCTATTACACTGACTTGCGGGGGCCACCCGTTTACCAAGTCAGTGCTTTTATCCTCTCAGATTACTCTGGTACCAATTTACCGGCCCCGGAGGTTAGAGGGCTTGGTTTGCCCAAAGGCGGGGATCGAACTTGCGTCCGATCTGGTCATAGCGGCACCTCATACCACTACGCCACTCGTCCCCCGTCCCGAATAGAATTTGACTTCTAACTACTTTCTGACTTTTACTTTTGTTGTTCTTCTTTTTACTTTCATTTCTTTGATTGAGTAGGTTGAAAAATTGCCAGTCATGTCCACTCTGCAAAGAAACTGCATGTCGAACGCAATCTCGGTATATCATAAAGCATTGCGATGAAGTACATAGTGCAGTAGAGGAGGAAAAGCGATTTAGGACACTCGTAATCATTCCTGAACCACCTGAAGGGCTTCGCGCATGTGAACGGCGGCAGATATGAAAGGAAAGGTGGACGGAATTGTGGTGCGCTGTTCTTGACTGTAGTACAAGCGAGTTTTACGTCTTGGTAAGCCAGGTGGTCTCGACCTCGGCTTGCATTGATACTTCCCTCTAGATTTCACTGGAGGTACACTTTGTCTAGCGCTTATCTCCTCGCTTCATACGCCGGAGTGTAACCTACGAAGAGCAACAAATAAATTTCTGGCTACGACAATAGGCTAGAGAGCGTAATAAAGGAAGCCTATACGTTACTGGGTTGTTCATAAAGTACAGCTCCAAGCATGTAAGTGAGCTTCCTCGAAGACCTCCGTTGGCCAGGAGAACCTTTGAGCTCGCTTGGTGGTACTAAAAAGTTGGAACGTTTTTTATTCCATTCCCGTAGCATTTAAACAAACTTGACCACCTTCACAACTTTTTGTGCTAACATAAAACAGACTTGATATTGAAAGCGGCTATTCAAAGAAAGCGACACTGCATTCGCTGGATCTACCTTGTTCGATTCATAAAACTGATAGGTTTAGAAGAATCGGTGGAGGAGTATGGTGCATCATCAAGGGAAACATTTCCACTCAGAAAGTTGAGCACTTCACGACATTTAATGTAGATTTGATTCCTGTAACATTTTTGCTCAATTGGCTCCAGTCTAATTGATTTCATCAACGTTTAACGCACCAAATTTTACGCATATTAACGATGAGCAGTTTGTTCAACTTTTACACATCTCTCATCTTCTCAAACAGTATTTGTTATCATTTTGAATGATTTAATTTACATCCAGACTGGAACACTCTCACGTCACTTAATCAAAATTCAAAGCATCCGAAAATTCTCGTTGACTGTGGATTACGGCACTATGTACTGAAGCTTACCCAGGACAAAAATGTACTACCGGGCTCAATTCTCTCGCCCACAAAAACATCATTATTTTGGAGATATTTCCATCTTAGCTTCTGTTGATCGTAACATTGTGGGGTTCTGAGTACACGAAAGCTGCCTTGCCCAAACAAAGTATCCTATACTTAAATTCCTCATTTTTTACTACCTGAGTCTCAATGATTGTCCTAATGCCAGTTGGATGACGATTTAGAGCATTGCACCTATTCAAAAGATTGTCGTGCTTTATGTCTTAAGATTTACAAGGTACCTGGCGGATTCGGGCATTTGAAAACTCGTGATTGTGTTGGTTTTAGCTATCCGAAACATGTATGTACCTTGATTGATCAAAAATGTCGTCTTTTTCAAGCTTCAAGATAGCCATTTTCTGATTCCCTCTATAAGAAAATGTGCGGTAATTTGAACTTCTATCTGAAAGAATTCCTTGCCAATCATGAATGCGTTTCTTTGAAAATTCCATTTAGGAATCTAATCGATTACATGTGTCGTATCAAAAATTAGGCAAGTCTTTTTAAGCTTCTCGCAAGTTAACATCTGCAATGAATTCGATTACTAGTTCATAACTTTGAGTTCTCTCTTTTATTGATAGGCATATACGTTGGCTTTGTAACAGTAAGACCATGCTTTCGTCCTTGTAAAAAACTCTGGGCAGGCATACTCTAACAACGAGTGCTGCGCGAGCTCTTGACTTCCAATCTGCCAATTATACCTGAACAACCGAGATTGCACATCTATTCTGTTGCAGAATTTATAACAACATTCAAGATTCGGTCAACATTCACTTGTTATTATTAAAAAGAACATGAGAAGATTAGCGCATTGCGAGAACAGTAAATGCTAAGACGAGGATGATGTGACATTTGGGAAGCATTCCATACCTATATGCTTCGCATGTGTTGCTTTTAAGAATTAGTATGGAAAGTTCGATGACCATCCTTCTCCATGCGGAGAAGAAGCAGTTAAGTGAGATAGAACAGTTTTAAATGAGATTCGCATTTGCAAAAAAATACAGTACTTCCCACAAAGAAGTAGCCATTCGAGCGATTCGTCTATCGCCGATGCAGAACTAGCGACGGCGACATCTCTGAGTTCAAGCGATGTCGCAACGATATCCCTGCGTGCGCAGACACTCGCGGTTGACGACGCAAGTGAAACGGAGTTCGACTCATTAAAAACATGCGGAACACCTCCGTTACGGACGGGACAATCCGAATATTGATTCGGGACAAAACTGCCAGAGAAACGCCGGTCGAGCAGTTGTAACCTGCGTTTGATTCGGAATTTGCCTGCAGCACATTTTCCGGTCAAACGCAGGTGAAACGCCGGTTGAATGCAGGAGTCCCGAAGAGACCATGGGCGTGAATCTAGCCGTAGAGCCCTCTTGAGCATTGTTCAAATTTCCGGCATACATTCTATACTGAGCAAACAATAAAGACTGAATCGACACAGATTTTATCTTAGAACAAACGATAACAATACTCTCAACAACAAAATCGCAACAACAAAATTATACATCTGAGTAAAAACTGAAGAAGAGAATCATTCTTTGGGCGGGTCCCTGAATTCGGTCTTTTTGAATGTCTTCCCTTCTTGGGTCGTAATCATTCTTTTTTGAAAATAAAAGAACGACTTACATCAGAAGTTTGAGAAATGGAGATGAACTCAGTTTGGGAGGCATGAGCGTTAGGCGCGCTCAGGGCCCGGCAGGAGGTGGCATTTCAGAATTTTGAAAACAATATCCCCTTTGAAGCCAAAATTTCTTACGACTTCCCCTTTGACCCTATTTTTGACCCCCCGTAAGTCTCTGACAAACAGATATACACAAATAATAAGATGGGCGGCTTCAGCGCTCATTATAGTAGTACTACCTGGCTTTCCTGGTCCAGCCCGGGTCATCGTTTGAGGGGATGGCCGAAAACCACACTTTGTCCTTCTACCTTCCCGTCCTTTTGGGCCATATTCTCGACCCCTTTTCTGCAGTATCAATACTGCACTGCAGCCCTCCCCCTTACCCTCCTGCACGAGCTTACCCCAGAAAGGCTCATTGGAGTGACTGCACCTTCTAATTTTAAAGTGGAAATGAACTTCACTGCACTGTTCACACCAAAATGTGCAAGCAGTTTGTTAGCGGCTGGTAAGTGTTCACTTTCCTTGCAAGGTGCCAAAAATCATTAAATCGATAGAAGAATTCCAGGAATTGCTTCAAAGGGTAGCTTAAAACCATCTACCGAGGCCGAAAACATATGTTTCAAGGTTTCCGCTCAATGGGTTCATCCGCAAAGGAATCTGTAAAAAAAACCTAGGGTCAAGATTTGCACAAACTTTGACGTTTATATATTAAGATACTACTCATTTATTAGTCAGCTGCGAAACTTTACAATATACAATAACCGATTGCGATTGGAGCGCGCTTTCCGAGGCCGTTTATAGCGCTGTGAACCCTATTTGGGGCTGTATCGAAGCGGTGCCTTGGTGGTTTTGGAAGCGGATTTGAACATATAGTAATACTCTCGATCTAGTCCATATTTATGTAAAGAAGTCCGGGAAATTATGTGAAGGGAAGCAGGGAGCCACCCCAGGTTGCTCCCAGGTGGCGCGGGAGCCGCCTAGTTTCGAAAAACACTTACCATTTTTTAAATTCACAAAAGTTTCTCATAATTCTTCATACTTTTTTTGTGCTCATGGTCCTCCAACTATACAGCAAATTTGGTGCGGTATCGTTACTTGTGCATTGAAAACGAGCCTATTTTGTTATTTTCCTCTTACAAGAATTGCGATTTGAATTCTCGCCTGCGGGCAGGCCAGCGATCGGTTCAGCTTGCGAAAGCGCTACCCCCGCCAAGCCCTGGGCGCGCTGCATCAAACTCGTACTGACGTATGTCGGCTGTGAAACATACGCATAACTGAAAATATGAATATATGTGTATATGCATATATATGGGTGTCCCAAAAAATTTGCACATTTTTGAATCTCTGATAACCCTCCTGCCACAGCGTCTTTTGTCGACGTTCAGGTGTCATTCTGTAAAATTGCTTTCAGCTTAGATTTGCAGTATAGAGCAAATCTCCAAACTTTCTTCGTTACTATGTGTTCAAAACTGAAATTTCAGAGTGTTTCAAGCCGTTAAAAGTCGCATTTTGCCTCAGAAAGTGAGGGTAAAACAAACCAAAAACTTTACTAGATGATCAGAGCCGCTAATGTTACTAGATGATCAAAGTCGCTAATGTCGCATATGAACGCACACTAGCTTCATGCTTCTTTCACGAGTTATGGAAAACACTAACGTCTGCTCCTTACTGGTTCTCCAAAAATGTGATTACACTTTTAGAAAAGGCCGGAAATCTTATAAAAAGGTTGTGCTGCTCACAGTATGCTTGAGAACCCAATTGCACGAATTTCCAGACTTTTTTGGAATTTTTTTACCAAAGAGCCTAACTCACGATGGCGCTATATCCTGAAAATTCATACCGAAATTCTAGAATAGCGAAAAGAGACTGGAGCCTTGCTCCATACCGAGAGCCTAAGTTGAAGCAAGTTCTACGGATTGGTACTTGAAATTGGTGAAAGACATCGATGCAAGCGAGTTATTAATGATAAAACGGTGTACACATTTTTTGGGACAACACCCTCTATATACAGTGCTGGCCAAAAGGTGCAGCCACTCCGAAACTTTGCTATATTTTAATCTGGTTTGCATGAAACGAATCCAAATTTCGATTTGTGAATCACGCTGCTTAACACTATATCAAATCTTGCAGTTTCATGCAAACAGAATGGGGCTCTGAGAAAAATGGCGAAAACGGCAAAATCGATAGGTCACAACTTGCAGCCACTTTCTGCTAAACGTCCTTGAACGACTTGTCACCTTCAGTATGGGCTAGAGATGCACCCCCTGCCTTGAGATATGCACTGCAACCGGCATTGATCAAACTCCAAAATAGAACTTTACGGAGCAAATTTGCTTGAACACCAAATGACCGCAAAAATTGGACAATCATTAGGTTGTCGAGGAACAATCGGCTGATCCGTGCTCCTATGGAAGGGCTGCACCATCTGGACGCTTAATGGAGGCTTACGTTATGACAGGAAAAGCATTGCTTGCATGCTTTAAAATCTAAAATCACTTTATCCAGATTCGGAGCACCTTTCAGCCCAAAATTAAAATCTAAAATCACTTTACTCAGATTCGGAGCACATTTCAGCCCAAAAACTGGGCTCAGTGTCTAAAGAATTCTAACTTGATGAAGATTTCGTTTCTACAAAGACAAGCACTAATCCGAAGCTTGAGAGCTTCAAACATGGAGGCGCTACCGCTAAGGGTTTGCCCGAATTTTACAACTGATGATTATTCTTGGCTTATCTAACATTCCACGTAATATCGAAATTTGGATTAGTTCTCTGCAAAACAGAATAAGATATAACAAAGTTTTGGAGTGGCTGCAAAGTTTTGGCTAGCACTGTATATTAGGTAGTGCAAAAGTCCTTTCACCCATTTTGGAAAAATAATCACTCATTGCTTTCATAACAGATTTGCGCATACTTATTTTTGACATACTACATAAGCGCAAGTAATTATATTGAAATCGAAACGTCTGAATGCCAGAACAAGATGCTAAAACTCACACTAGTAAGTTTCCTCCAAATAAGCAGTGTAAGGCCGGTACATTGTGTTTCTTTGTGCGGCCTTAACCCATTATCATAAATTCCCATGTTACAATTCCGGGGCGTGACCGGAGAAAGTCCTGATGTTAGCGCAATATTGCAACCTTAGTTTCTTTACGTTACAGGGCCAGCACATCATAAATAACCAGCCAGGATTCTAGCCCTGTTGAAACGCCACGAACATAGCTGAAACTACACCACCTCCCAACAACCATTTATTCCCGACTCAGAGTACACATACACACACACTACATAAATCATCCCCGCGCTAGGGCTTTGCATCATTGACCGGATCAATCAAGATAGTGAAATTAGCGGATGACGTATCGGGTGAAAAGGAAAGGATCATCCATAGGAACAAAGAGGTTATTAGGTTAACTAGCGGGCCTCCGGAGAGGAGGCCCTCAGAGGAAAGATGAGGGAATATAAAATGGCTATTAAAAGCAAAACTTATACAATACTACTACTTTACAACGAAGTCTGTGATGTTTATATAGTGCTTTACAGACCGGGCGCTACAAGTTCTTTTACACCTCTTCTCCAGATTTCCTTTCTGTAGTCCGCCATCAATTGTCCAACAAGGCATGAGTAGTACCATTAATTCTTCTAACAAAGACATGAGTAATCTCTAGGAACCACTTCTTCCTTCCTTCCAGTCCCATTGGTGCTACGACTTCCAAAAAGCAGTTCGTTTCTCCTCCTTTACAGTCAGGCGCATGATCGAGGCTTTCAAGTACGATCAAAAGCGTTTCGTGCATAATCGAAAGTTACCTTACATCCGCGGGGTATTGAAAGGTTGAGTCCCGCAACCTCCATTCTCGTCACCAGTAAAATATGTTGGCTCCAAAGGTATCAATTGAAGAATTCCTGAGCGTTTGCTTCCGGCCTTGTCTTCCCTCGGCTATTTTCCTCACGAATATCGTACATCTACTTTCTATTTGCGCGCGCATTCGTATCATCTAATATCTCCATCTATAACCATATAACGTCTTGTGCGGACTCGCGTCGCGAGGTCAAATGGAATGGTTGCGCAGCCGAGTATCTTCGACGCGATTCTTCATCTGCAATTTCAAATTTAAGTGCCATTTGCCTCCTGTGGGTTTCCTTAGTATCCGCACTCATGGGTACATCGCGCAACCATTTTCTTGTTATAGATGACCGCGGTTTTCGTAATTCCATAACTTCTGTCGGCCGATACCCTGGAAGATAATGTAGAATCCATTAAATAACTGCCATCTATGTAACTAAGGATCCGATAATCGCGTTGTCGTCGCCGAGAAATTCTTGTCATGGACGTCTCCATGGCAAGTGAGTTGGGAAGCTGCCGTTTGTTTTCAATTTCCATGCCTTAATCAAAAGTCAGGTAGGGGTTTGTATTCCATTGACTTGAGTTTTGTATCATATGTCCTGAGTAAATTCCTTAATTGGTAGCGCATCATAGAGGGGATCTGGGAAAAGGAAAACAATGCAACTACAATAAAATTTATCGGGAGTAAGGATTACATAGTTATACAAATACAATAGATTATCATAAAGAAGGGTTAAATGGTTGTTGGGGCCCTATCTTTTTCCCTCTTTTCTTCCTTATTTGGTATCTTCGGTGTTGTCCACATCTCTATGTAGTTTGGTGCGATCGACGTGAATGACTCTTTCGCGTTTTCCATCAAAGATGGTGATGTTGGGTAGTTCCATGTCAATGATTGGAAAGGGTCCTTCGAATCTAGTTGCAAGCTTATGCACACCGTCCTTCCTTATCCAAACCTTCTTCCCGATCTGATAATCCTTTTTCACCGGCTTCTTCCTCAAGTCGTAGTGATGTTTTTGTCGTTTCTGAGCTTTTACGAGATTTCCGTAAACCTGCTGATAAATGGCTTTCAAGGTATTGGTGAGATGGTTCACATAATCGTCAGGGTCGGCTTACTTTTTTGTTGGTAACTGCAATGCAAGGTGAAAGATATTAGTAGGTTTTCGTCCGTGAATAAGGAAGAAGGGTGAAAATTTCGTCGACGCATTCTCTATGCTATTACAGGCGAGTACTATGAGATAGAGAGCGTGATCCCATTCATCATTGCGTTGGCGCGTGGCAATCGCAATTTCTTCTTCCAAAGTCCGATTGACGCGTTCGACCTGTCCGTTTGATTGATGGTGATACGGTGTACTCTGTGGTGGTTGACATGTAGACTGCGCAAAAGGTTGCGAAACATTTCGCTCATGTAGTTTGTTCCTTGGTCCGTCACGAGAGTTTCCGGTAGTCCGAATCTGGCTACGAAGCGAGCAATGAATATGCGAGCTGTAGTGTCGGCCTTCTGATCAGGTATTGGTTCCGCTACTATATACTTGGAAAACGAGTCTATGAAAACAATTATATATTTGTTTCCATCCAACGTCAGCGGCAGAGGGCCGATTATATCAGAATGTACTCGTTGCCATGGTCTCGTGGATACTTCTAGAAAGTGGAGTGGTTCTCTCGTCTTATAAGCCGTAGGGTCCTTCCTTGCTTGACAGAGTTGGCGTGCGCCGATAAATTATGCGATATCTTTCCGCATGCAATTCCAGATAGCAATCTTCTCAACAGCTGCATGTGTCTTGTTAATTCCTAAGTGTGCTGACGCCATTTGTGATTGATGTGCCAAGGCGATAATGTTCTGTTTGATGCGAGATGTTTCCGGTAAGACTAGTTGTGGGTCTTGATAAAGGCGATTTGGTAGCGTATAAAGGATGTTGTTTATGAGGAGGTAGTTAGATAGTTCCGTCGTCTCCTCATTGTTTGCTAACATTGCCTTCAATCTCGCGATCCATTCACACTCACCTTGCTCCTGACGTACAGTGTCCAGTTGCAGGTTGTCCATGGTGACACTTGTAATGGCATTCGTTGGTAAATGTCGAGATAGCGCATCGCAGACAGCATTCTTCTTCCCCGGTCGGTATATAATGGTAACGTCGAACTCCTGAAGCACGATCTGATACTTGGCTAGCCTTCCGGTAAGATCCTTTCGATGCAGCAACGCCTTGAGAGGTGCATGATCCGTAATGATCGTGCACTTCGCTCCGTCGATATACGGTCGGAATTTTTGTACTGCAAAAACCAATCCTAATGCTTCGAGCTCGATTGCTGGATATCTTGCTTTGTGTTTGCTCAAAGTACGACTTGCATATTCGATGACTCGTTCCAGGCCTTCCTGTTCTTGTTTAAGAACTCCCGCGATACCTTTTGCCGAACTATCCGTTTCTATAATAAAAGGCTTCCCCAATCGTGGTGCTGCGAGAATAGGTGCAGATGTCAATGCTTCCTCCAAGCGATTCATGGCTTCCTCGCACTGTAGTGTCCACTCAAAAGGGGTATTCTTCTTTGTCAATGCGATGAGTGGTGCTGCAATGGCTGCAAAGTTGTGCACAAATCTTCGGAAAAACGAGCACATTCCCAAACAGGATTTGACGTCTGTCGAGTTAGTTGGCTGCGGGTAGTCGTCGATGGCTTTAGTTTTATCCGGGTTGGGCCTTATTCCTTCTTTGCTTAAGATGAATCCCAGAAACTTGATCTCTTCCTTTGCAAATTCGCATTTCGACGCCTTCAGCTTCATGCCAATTATTTCGATCTTTCGCAATACTTCATCGATATCTACCAAGTGTTCTTCTGGGGTTTCAGAGGTTATGATAAGGTCGTCGATATAAATAAAGACTCTTGCGCGTATGTACTTTTTAAAGTCGTCCATTATTTCTGAAACGTGGCTGGTGCTCCTTTGAGTCCCATTGGCATCCGGATATACTCAAATGCTCCCAGAAAACATGCGAATGCAGTCCTCTCACAATGTTCCTCTTCCAGTGGTATTTGATGAAATCCTTACTGGAAATCAAGGGACGAATAAAGGCACTGACTAGCACACAAATCAATAATGTCCTGAATATAAGGCAAAATTGATTGCTGTGGCTTCGTGATAGCATTAAGTCCTCGAAAATCGATGTTGAATCTCCAGGCATTTGCTTCTCGCTTTTTCACCAAAACAATTGGAGCACAGAATGGTGATGTTGATTCTCTGATTATACCGTCTTCTAGCATCTGCGTTATCTGTTTCTCGATTTCCTGTCGCTTCTCGAGGGGCACGCGATAGATCTTCCTTGCTGGTATAGTGGCATTTTCAATAAGATCGATTCGGTGTCGTATGTTCCCTCTGCAGTGTCCAAGATGTCCATCCGGTCCTACAAAAGCGTTGGTGTGGCATCTAATGATGTCTCGTAGTTGATCTTTCTGATCATCTGTCAAACTCGATTGCGACAAGTCAATTTCCTTGGTGATGTCATAATTAGGAGGATTTGATGTGATAGGGAATCTAGGCAATTTGGACTCCCAATCTGCTTCTGGCGGAATATGCTCATAGTTACCATGCTCGTTCAGAGGCAGTTCACTGACGTATGCAACAGTGGTAGCGACTGACTGATGTACGTTGTCTTCTGATGACTCCATCGAGTGTTGGACTTGTGGACATACCAGCGGTTGAACTAACACTTCCGATTCACACGCTGGGTGTGCCCAGGCCACCTTGAGTTGCCTGGGGAGTATGATGTTGGTCATAGAGGGGTTAAGGATGTTGACGTAGCAAACTCCGTCTAAGCCTGGTGTAACGAGGGCTCGTTCAATGACAAAAATGTCATCCATTGGTCGGAGATTATCCTCAATGTAGAAATCTTTACATCTGGGCCATGTTAGTCCTTCGATGTAGGCTTCCACGACGTTGTTAGTTCGTGGGGGTAGAAATGTGTCCTTAGCGAGTCGCACGACGTATGGTGGTATAACGGCCAATGTAATATAGCTGATTGGCGCAAAATTGATTGTCTCCGGGCCTATACGTATGACATTGTTGTAGAGGTCGAGCGAGACCAAGAGCCCGTTTGCATTTAATGCCTGAATGAAGTCGGATCCTAGCAGGAGTGGAGCTGGGCAATCGTTCTCTGATACGTAAAAACAATGCATGATAGTGTGTGTGCCTACTCGAAGGGGCAAGGAGAGTGCGCCCACTAGTTGTATCATGGTGCCATTCGCAGTTGTCGCCATCTTCGATGTCCTCGTGAGCTGTTTCGGGTCTCCTATCATTAATAGTGTAGACATCCTCATATATGATATGGCTGCACCGCTATCCAATAGTGCTGTCACAGAGTTGTTCCCAATCTTGACTTCCAAGTAGGGTAGATGTAAGTTCCGTGATTCCACCTCGACTGCATAGATGCGTGGTACGAAGAGTTGCTCCTGTTCGTCCTCTTCCTGCGGTAGTTCCACCATTAACATATTTACTGCACGTGGTCTTCGACTCCTTCGCTTAGGGGTGAAGTTCCTTGCCATACTGAACATAGCTGATGCGGCGGTTGATGTTGCTCGTCTGAGGAAGAAAAGCTTTGCGTAAATAACGCAAGCTGTTACGCAAAGGAGGATGACCGTGGCTGGTATGGCAATCCATAGTATCGTATATAGAATCGACCATTTGATGTCTTTCACACCTTCCGAGAGCTTTTGCGTTGTCGACTCATATAGCGACAACAAGGACTGGCCTACGGACATGCTGGTATTGCGTATCCGTGAAACGGTTTCCTCAATGATTCCTCGCTTCTGAAGTCGTACAGCCATGTTCAGTTGCTCCTCCTTCAGCACTTCCATATATGGGATAGCTAATTGCGTAGTTGTCGAGGATGCGATAAAATATAGGTGGACTATCGAAGAGGAAAGGTCTTGCGTGATTATTGACGACGGTGTTTGGCAGTAAAAGACTTCGCGTCATGTTGGCACGTTTAAGAGATGGATAAGGACATGGAACCGTACCGGAAGATTGTATTAAATCCTGTGTTTCAGGTACATTGAACCAAAGGTCGTTATTGATCCTTACTGGCATCAAAGTGTAACATGTTCCATCGATTGTATGATTAACATAGATGAATGTTGGTGTGACGTGACGACATTTTGTAATCAACTGATTATCGGCAATCCGGATGGCGGCGATATCACTTCTTCCTAGTAAGATTCTGGCGGCCAAGGGGGTCCACTGAGCTCAGGAGACGTATCCTTTGTGACTCCAAGAATCTTCGTACACAGATGTTATTGAAGTGACGTCGTGCCACAAAATTCCTTGTTGGGACATTTTCTGTTGCCGGGGATTGTGTGGGCACAGAAGATGTCGAAGGGGTTGTAGTGAAGGTTGTGGTTTCTGCTGTTGTTGAAACTTCACGGTACTCCCTTGTCGTCGTTTGTAGTATTGGTGATAAGGCGGCGCTCATTACAGGAACAGTCCAAACTATAGGTACGAATCTTGTGGTTCTCATCAGTATTTCTTGTGATTTGGGTGTTAGTGTTGGAGTTTGTAGTTGTATTGTGGTAGTAGCAGTAGACGTCGTAGGGAGTGCACTTGATGATGCAGGGTATAGTGGTTGTAGAGTAGGGAGAGGCGTATGATAGTACACCTCCATTTCTGTAGTCGTTACTGGCTGGGACGTTATAACTTCCACAGTAGGTGTAGTAGATAATGTAAGAGAAGTTCTTTGCGTTGAAGGCATCGTTGTCGGACTGTCGGTTACCGTTGAGATTTTCCCTGCTGTTGTTGTCGTCACTGTTGGCGTACTCATCGACGTTGTTAAAGGTGCGGTTGTTGGAGTCATAAGTGTTGTTGTAGATGAAGTTGTCGATGTCATCGTTGATATCGTTGTTGTCGATGGTGTTGTTGATGATAGCGCTGATGTTGTTGTTGTTGACATAAGTGTTGTGGAGTTCTTCATGCCGGCTATAGTGGGTATAATGGTTGTCCTTTGTATATCTCTTGTCGTCGTCGTCATCGGCTTAGTGATGTTGAAGTATGGGGCTATCAGCTTCCAGTCTTGATTGGTTGAATCGGGCACATTGTATTCGGCTTTCCCAAACTCTTCGTTAAGGTATTCATCGAAGATTGTGGAGATCCCAAGTTCCAGATCCCGCCGGGTTTCGAGTTGTGCGTAGTTCAATGGTACGACCTCCTCCGATTGCTTGAACAAGCGTAGCTGCTTCATACGGTATTCACCGTATCTGATGGTCCGTAGTACAATGTGGCGCGGATCGTCGATTTTGTAGAGTCGGGCTGTTCTTGAAAGGTCGTCATTACTGATATTCCATCGTTGCAATTCTGTGAGTATCTTATTCCATGTTACTGGGCGTACATTGAAAGCTGGAATCCTTTTCAGTTTCTTTACGTTAAATAGTCGTTTGATCAACAAGATGGGTTCCGCTGCCATAATCTCCACGGGGTAGGTATTTCCTTGTTTGTCCGTATGGTACCGAATAGCACGCTTTGACCTTCTTCTTCTATAGGCGACACGTAAGACATAATCTTGGATTGTGAGGTCCTGGGGAATATAGGAAAAGGCGATAATGTGATTTGATGTCGTCAGGTAGTTGTTACCTAATAGGCAAAATTCGGTAAGCTGGTCATGTAGAAGAGTATCTTCGGAGAACTGGAAGGTAAGGTCTGGATGAGGTAGGACAATATACTTCAGAGTAACGAAGGCTTCGAAGGTTCCCACATGTCTGTATCTGCATGACGGTATAACTTCAGCTGGTTCCCAGACAATTGTGTATTCCCGCGAGGGACAGACTCCTTGTGAGTATGAACAATTTGCCGTATCGCCCAAGGACTAATTATATGGTGACCATCGAAGGTAGCCATTTGTCCTTCTTCGACCGAGTATACACTACGTAAATAATTCCTCGTACCCCATAGTGGTATCGTCACGTCATCGTCTTCTATCTCCTTGGTGGTCCATAGCCCATCGGCCTGCGCAAACAGCTCATGTCCATGTATCTTCCCAGTTATACGAGCCATCTCACAGGCTTCCTGGGGTATTGATAGACGACGGCGTCGTAGGATAGTCGTGGTTGTTCGAATTCGGAAGAAACTGCTTACAGATACCTCAATAGCGTCCCTGTAAAATTTGGTAGCATTTTGCCAGGATGGATTGGGATTATCCGCGAATAGATGTGCTGTTGTTCGCAACATCGGGGCATTCGCCGGAGTTGAGCAGTCGATGGCTTGCGGGAGTGAGAAAATGTTCGAGTAAGGATTTATACCACATATCTGGTACTCCGCATTTGCAAAAGTGCTGCAGATTAATGTCATGATGCAGAGAAGGTGTACTCCTGCTGTGGCCGTATTCATCAACGAACCCCGAGGGTTAAACTAACCCTGGAGGGTTAGTTTAACCCTGGAAAGCTTTTGACCCGTATTCATGAAACACAGGGTAGGCTTAACCCTGAGGGTTAAATCTAACCTTGAGGGTTAATTTTACCCCGAAAGCGATTAACCCGTATTCATCAACGAACCGTGAGGGTTAAACTAACCCTGGAGGGTTAAACTTACGTGATTCATCAGGGTTAATTTAACCCTAGCTCAGAGCAAGGTTAACTCTACCCTGACACTTCATACAAACGTTTACTCGCATCTAACAGTTTATGGAAAACGATCAATGAGTATTGTGGCATTTAGTATTGGTTGTTGTTATAGTATTTAGTTTCGACTTCGTTTCATGTTCATATACGAAGTACATGAAACACTGACTTTGCGAGAAAAAGAATTCTAGCTTTGGTGACAAATGAATGCGACGAGGAAAAATGGCATTCCACTCTGACAAGTGCCAAAACAGAAGAACCCCTTTATAATAACACGCATTGACCCCTAAAGGAGTAGCACAAGCCTGTATAAAACGA